ATTGTCGCCAAATTAAAAGAATCTCATTCCGGATTGTTTAATTTCATTTTAATACTTTTTATCATAGTAACTTTGGTTTAGACCATGAAAATTTTTGTGGGTAGTAGTTGGGTTGTTTTGACCAAATCCGCCACATGTCTCTACAAGGGGAAAGAACTCGAATCTTTAAAATGGCGTCAGAGATCTATTCAGTTACTTGCACTTACTGATGGGGTTAGAATATTGTGAGAATCGGGGGCCATGGAACATTTTTTTAATTCAAAAATAGTGTCAAAAGCGGGATTCAACGGTTTTATACCATTTATCTCCATCGATAACCTATAACAGAGGTCGGCAAACATTTGAGTCGGAAAAGTCAAAAATAAATTTACAGAATTTCAAAGTTTTTAAGAGCCACAACATTTTTAATGCCAACAATAAAATAGTACTCGCATAAATAATATTCACGTATGGAACTATAAAATATCCGCAGCTTAACATCCAAAGAGCCGCATGTGGCTCGCGAGCCGCAGTTTTGCCGACTTTAACAAAAATATTGATGTTTAAAATGATCTCGAGTATGACGTTTAGAACCAGTTGCGGCTAGCGAGATTCAGTACCTTTACTAACTTCTATCATAGATGACGTCTTTATTTCCATATAAGATACCGTCCGAGCTGTCATCCGGCTTTTTCGTAGCGCTGCGGCGAGTTTGAACTCATGAAGGAAAATATATAAGTATTCATTGCTTTGATAGCATTTTTAACACAGTCTAAAATCGCGCAAAATATATTGGAAATATAAATATTAATATAAAATGAAAGGATGTAAAAGCACGAATGTTTCTTTATATACATAATACAAACTTCTACTGCCCTTACTGCGGTGAAAAAAATAATATATTGGGAGGGCTTGGCTCATCAGTGGTGAACCCTCTCAGCGGTTTCGCAATTTAATCCACCAGACCGCTTCTCAGAGCTCTAATACTGTTTGGACGATTCTGCTTATATACGCAAACACTGAAGGATGGAATCTCAAAATGGTTTTCAAGAACAATATGGACATAAGCTTATAAGACAGTAGAATTACATTCAAATAGATATTAATATATATATGATGCATTAGCGCGCCACTCTGTTATGAAAATTCGAAACTATTATAGACGCGTAATCATTAATAGATATGGTGACAGTACGAATACGTGCTTCCTAATGAAATACGACTTGAAAAATAAAATTAAAGAAAAATTTGCATCACTAAAATCGGCAATTATTTCCCCCCCCCCCCCCCCTACCCCCCCCCCCCCCCTCCCCACACACGCACACACACAATACTATATATATGAAGGATGGAAGCTTAGGTGTGTTTATGGGGACCTATGGACATAAGCTTACAGGTAATTAGAGGTGCACATAAAATAAAGGAAACTGCATCGATGCTCTTTCGCAATTTTTTTTTTATATTAAAGCTATGATTAGCAATTTAAAATTATAAATTCAAACGCCATCTATCGGTAAAATTTAAATAATTATTCCTGTTTCTTATGATAAATATTGTCGAATAAACCTTTTATGACCTTACTGAAAAAAATGTAAGTTATTAAATGAGAGGAGAAATCGCTGAGAATGTTCGCTACCGATAAACCAAGCCCTCTAATTTAACAACTTTCATCATTACAAAAGGGTCTGTAGAAATATTTTTTTGATAATATTTATCAAAATGAGCATGTTGCCCAAATATTATCATTGAACTTATACCAGTTTGTATTTGTATAGTAAGATTGCATAAACTAAGGAGACTTGTTTCTAGATAAGTTAGTGTATTAAGAAAATCTCCAGTATATATATACCGAATTTTATTTTAAGTGGAAATGCAGTATGTGCCTTAAAATTTTATGGAATACGCTTTTTTTCGTACGTTAGATTCTCTACTATCACATAACTTTATTCAACCAATCAACGCTTAGTTCAATATCCAATCAGCGTACAAAGTGTTTTAGCTCAGTGGTTTTATTAATATTATTTTGATTCAAATAATATCTATAATTCATATATTTTAAGGTATATTAACCCTCATAGTATATTTAGCTAGAAATATCCCAGATAAATATTATTTAAATAAGTTACCTTCTCTTTTAAAATCTGAAGGCATCTCACAAATATAGATAATATATAAAATATTTTTTGTCAATCATATAATAATATATATATATCAAATTTAATAGCTTCTCTAAAAAACACGAACTAACTATAATATATACCCAAAAAGAAATTCCATTAAATATCATAATTTTATTGCAGATATATTTTTTGAAAATATTTTATCGTCGAGTTATCTATTGATATATTTTGTTGTATTTCTTAAAATATAAATTCTACAACTATTGCTGAGATAAAAATATATTAAAATGAGAGGTTCTGGCTTAAAAACCTAACTAGTGGAATCGGCTGGAAATGTTCGGCTTTAATTAACCATGTCCCCATCTCATTTATTTTCCCATCACAGTATGAACCGTATGAAAATGTCAATTAAATCAACAATATATTTTTACGTGGAATGAAGCGCATTAACAAATGGAAGGTTTTTGTGGCGTTCTAGAATAAGGTAAAAATAATCAGAGAAGAAATGGATAGCCGATTTGTATTGATAGAGACCTCAATCAAAATACTTGCAGATCAAAACAAGAAAATATTTTTTTAAAAACAAGACTAATATAAACAATGATGAAAATATAATCAGTTTTCTAAGAGAAAATGATAATTTTGTCATTTATCCCTCAGACAAATGTTAATATACATTTATATAATGGATATAGCAGATTATGATAGCTAAATATAATATTTACTTCAAGTCAAAAAAATATATACGAATAATCAACTATTAATTCTCTATAGAAAATGATAAAATATTTCGGCAGAAAATAAATATAATAAAAGGCGTTAACAAATTAGACAACAAAGTTGTTGAGACTCAAAGCACGAAAATGTGATCTAACAATTTTCTATGTTTACCGAAAATTCATAAACCCAATAACCCACTTCGTCCCATAGTCTTATACACCGGTTCACCAATCTATCCTTTAGCCAAATATCTCTCAACCCAAATATCACCGTTTCCGAAATTTCTCTCCCAAACAGTTCAGAACCCCACAGCAGCGATAGAGATTATGCAAGGAATAACGATACCCCAAAATTGCCACATGGTTATTTGATGTTGAATTATACACTTCAATTCCACATGAAGAAGATATTTTGAATTTTCAAAATTCTTAGACACACATCCCCAACTTGAACCAACCATATCCAGAGAAGCATTCAAAGACATATGTTTGATCTAATAGTTCATCCTTCAGTTATTTTAGTTACAAAAAACAATATTATATACAAACATATTAAAGACTGTCTTTGGGAAATCCAATTAATTCTTCAATCTCTAATATTTATTTGAATCAAATATTGACTATATAACTATTGCAACAAAAACATATGAAAATATTAGTCTGGAAAATATATATGTAATTATTTTATGTTATTATTCTAACCTTTTTTAAATAGTTTAAAGCCAATTTCAATCTTTACATAAAAATAGTATGTAACAGGTCTTTGGAATACCTATACCTTAAGCTTACTAGGGAGAGTAAATCAATAGTGAAATAGAAACCAGCATATATATATATATTTAAAAAAAGGCATCTACTTATCATGCAACTGAAAGTTGCTGATGGCTTGCGCCATCTATCGGAATAAATATCAACTATTCTCGTTGATTTTTAATTATTCCAGAATTGGCCAAATACCCATTCTTGATTAATCAAGAAAAGAATGGGTATTTGGCCAATTCTGGAATAATTAAAAATCAACGAGAATAGTTGATATTTATTCCGATAGATGGCGCAAGCCATCAGTAACTTTCAGTTGCACGATAAGTAGATGCCTTTTTCTTAATTTATGCACCTTATCCCAGTACAATGTCACATTTGTACTATTTTTCATATATATACATATATATATATATAGAAAACCAACACATAAAGCAAATATATCAATTTTAATTTATTTGGGCATTTTAATCATTAAATATCTGTGATTAAAAAACTCTCTAAAAATATCGTTCAACACTACTCCATAAAAACAATATAATGGCTGAACAAGCATATTCGATAATGAGCTTAAAATAATCACTAAAAACATATATTATGATATATATATCCTTTAACATAACTACAACTAATAACGAGGAATCAAACATATACTCGTACTGTGCACTACGATACAAATATTACATTGAAAGAGAGAGAATAACAAGAATAATCTTTCTCTCAAAAATACAAAATAAAAACCAGGATACAACCTTTTCTATTATTTGCTATCCCAACACTGAAGATAATTGCAATCAAGAATTAAAATCAAACATCGCATATTGCATTCCCTGTAAATCATGTCATCAACTTACATAAGAGAAACCAGCATAACTCTGGAAGAGATAGTTTAAACCAGCATAAAACAAACTTTGAAAAACATAGCCAATTAATATCTTTTGGTGGATCACACACTCTAACAGGAACTTATGCTAAAATTTGATAAATTAGAATGTATACACAACAATTATCAGAAGTCTGGACATATAAAAGCTAACAATAGAAAATATAGATAGAAAAATCTACATCACTCCGTATATTTACAGTTGAAATATACTTGACACTTATTACACTTATTATGATTAATTTATTATTTAATTTTAGAAATGAACGAACGTAAAGTATAATTATATAGAATTTTGTGTGTATATAAATATTAGCCTCAGATTGTGTTTTTGGAAATCTCAAATATAATTTCGCGTGATAATTAATCAAAACCTTTACAAAATAAAGAGATATCCTGACGAGGTAAGGCGTTCAGCCTAGCGAAATATTATTATTTTTTATTTATAAAATGTTATATATATATCTTTATATATAATTGTCTTATTCTGTCTGTGTGAAGTTCACGGATAGAATTTGGTCAGAATGGATAAAATAAAAAAGGTGTCAAGGGATGGGAATCGAACCCACGACCTTCCGCTTACCGGGCAGATGCCATGACCACTAGGCCACATGACCACAATTTATAATTGTAACAAATAGTATTTGAATCAAAACATGGGCGTTTCCCGGGTCATTCGGCTAGTATATATATATTATGTAAAGTATTTTTGAGATAGAATTTGTGAAAGTTGTTTAAGGATACATGAGTATTTTATGATATTATTTTGCACACACACAGTCGTATGAACAGAATAATAAAAATAGTTAAGATCAGGAAAAGCTTTAATTGAGCTTAAGAAATATAAAATACATAATTTGAGAAGGTATTGCCTGATTTGAGGCGTAAAGAAGACAATAAAATATTAAATATTGACATATCTACAGAAAGATTTAAGTTCAGCCGACCAAACGGGAAATGAAAATTTCTTTATTCACAGGGCTTCTAATCAAAATGGATGATTTTTGAGCCCCCCAAAAAAGGCAATAGCCTACAAACCCGGTGTTCCCAGGTGGTCACCCTCCCAAGTACTGACCGGACCCGACATTGCTTAACTTCGGTGATCGAACGAGAACCGGTGTTTTCAATGTTGTATGGCCGTAGGCAAAAAAAAAATATATTTCGGGAATCGAACCCGGGCCTCCTAGGTGAGAGCCATGTATCCTATCCACTAGACCAGGTGGGAGGCGCCAAACGGGAAACAACAACAATAGGTGTATATAGGGAAAGGGACGTCGTCTGGCGGTCGATTTAAACAGAGTAATTTGTTCTAGAATTTATAATTTAAAAATATATCTAATATATTATAAAACTATCTTAGAGGCGTAATATTATTTTTAAAATAAAACAATTTCTACTGTCCTTACTGCGATGGACAGTAGAAATTGTTTTATTTTAAAAAGAATATTACGCCTCTAAAATAGTTTTATAATTTGATAACAGATGGCGCTCTAGTACATCGTAATATCTAATATATATATGGGAAAATTGCCGGGAGGAAATTGATCCATAGAAGCATGGGCGCTTCTCCCTTCAAAATAAACGTCAAAAACTGACGCCTCTATTGACCGTCGCCGCAAACTAGCGGCCTCTAAATCTATGGCTAGAATATAGATGGAAAAATTGCCGGGAGGAAATTGATCCATAGAAGCATAGGGCGCTTCTCTCGTCAAAATAAACGTCAAAAACTGACGCCATCTATTGACCGTCGCCGCAAACTAGCGGCCTAGATTTGGCCCAGCCACCTTGCCAGAAAAACACCTCTTTGGTAGATTGGAATAAAGCATAACAATAGCACCTTAAGGCTTAGCCGGTGTGGAGGAATCACTCTGGGAGTAATACTATTGAGAAATTAGTAGGGAGTTATTTTGCTCCCGTGTGGATCTCATGGAATAAAGTCCGCCCTAGACTGACGAGGGCCATTAGCCCGAAACCATGGTCTCTAGGTGGACACTTCTCAATTTTCCAAAGCTGGTGTTGTGGCTTTGTCACCGACCCTAGGCCGCTAGTTTGCGGCGACGGTCAATAGATGGCGTCAGTTTTTAGCGTTTATTTTGACGGAGAGAAACGCCCTATGCTTATATATATCAGCCCGTACAATTATTGCATTCTTCAAATTCAAGGACTAAACAACGAACATCAAAATATACGGATTATATTTATAAGGTCTAATGCTAACCCAAAATATATTGAGAAACGTAATTACAAGTTAAAATATTCCAAAGTGTTCCTATTGTTTTCAAAAAGATATTTTGTTATATGAAGGAAAATTAGAAATACATCTACCAGTCTGCTCTTATATTTTTACCAGAAAGGATACCTCCCTTAATGACCAACATTGAAAGATGCTCTTATAATAACATTATATTTTTTTAAATTACAAATATGTTCTAACAATGAGTTTCTTTTTAATAAAAAACGCTATCTTTAAGGCTATAATCGCTCTTCAATGGGCTTAATAAAATATTGACTTCATCCTACCTGGAATATTTACACAAACAAACGCGCGCAGCGTGGATATTAAAAACTGAAATTTTTGAATTGGTTTTTCAAAAGTTTTCAGTTATAAATTACCACGCTGCGCGCGTTTGTTTTGTAAATATTTCTGGTAGGATGAGGTCGATATTTTATTAAGTCCGTTGAAGAGCGATTATCGCTTGAAAGCTAGCGTTTTTTAATAAAAAGAATCTCATTGTTAGAACATATTTGTAATTTTAAAACTTTTTTCACAATTTTATCAAGAACATTATAATTAAAAATACACATACACAAATACACACACGCATATATATATGTCGTGATCATCGAATGTAAAGGTGCAACCGTTATGCATGTAAACTTCAAAAATTGTTCCAGTCAAGTGAGCGCGCGGCGTGTTGTAGCATTCACTCGCGCTGGCTCTCACGTTTATTTTGTGCGGTGTATTTATAGATGGATGAATTTGTATTTACAATTTAACACAATATTAACATATTTACAGTTTAACATACTTATTTTGGCGAAAAGAAATTATACATTTTGGGTATTATGCAAATTATGACATATATATATATATAATATATATATATATATATATATATATATATATATATATATATATCAAGTATAAATACATTTATCATAATATATCCTTCTTAAATAATAATATGCAACATCCAAATATTAGGTCAAAGATTAAATTCTTAGAAGGTAAACAGGGAATAGTTTTGTAATTGTTTGGCTATAAAAGAAAAGCTATCCATCACCAACATAAAAATTAATGGCCCTTGACTTGGAGAGAGAACAATATTTGCCGTCTCCAAATCAAATAAATAATCTAGAAGTTAGCCATAAAAGGTAGGAGTCACTAACAATCAGCCGTGAGGATGTCAGGAGAAAGAAATGCTCCAGTCCAATAGGTTCACCTGTATCGACCCGGCAATCACCGGGGGCTGGGTATTGATTGAAGCCTTGTTCCCTCCGGCGTTATTAGATGGACACCGCAGCCACTTATTTGCCATCGCTATGGACTCTGTTTACCATTGGTATTTATACTTAAATTGAAGATAATATCAAAATAAAAATTTCCACAGAAATTAGAATTATCAAATCTTTTCTTCGAAAAACCCACACGAATTATTTTAATCGCATAAAATACTATAGTGTTTTCGTATATGTGTAAACTTTTTATCTATAATTATACATGTAAATTTCAAGTTTTATGATTATTGTTCATCATGGGAGCAAGAATTTCATATTTTAAATAATTATAAATAGTCTAACATCCACAAAATGTATATAAACGTCAATCCGAAAGCTTGGCCATTATATGATAACAAAAAAGATAATAAAGTATTATTGAGACAGCCGAACCCATGGCAGGGTAGGGTCCGAGGTCAAATTTCGGAAAGATTAATCATATATCTCCAGGAAACTGCTTAGGATTAAAAATTTCTCAGAAGCATAACAATAGCACCTTAAGGCTTAGCCGGTGTGGAGGAATCACTCTGGGAGTAATACTATTGAGAAATTAGTAGGGAGTTATTTTGCTCTCCACAATCTCACACGCCACCACTGTCAATACTGATTCATGTTTGATAAGCAATTTCTGGGGAGAAACTATAGGCATTGGAGAAAATTTGAAATAAATATATTTAAAAAGAAAAAAAGAGAAAATATTTAACAAATCAGAAAGTGATATTGCAAACAACCCAACTATATTGCAGATAAGACTACATATAAAAGGAATGAATTCATCTATAGAACCTCATTGAAAACAATATTTCTAGTTTTATATATATACAGTATAACCTCGTTAATTCTAAATACGATAATTCGACCCTGTTTTGATATTCCGACCTACGGCCTATCATATACAAACTGTAAATTCGAAAACTATCGATAATTCGACATTTTAATATTCAAATTTAGACAGTTGATTGTTGTTTAAATACATCTTCAACGCTAAAAAGGCATTACAGAGGCGAGCGGCGTACGCTGAAAATGTACAAAATTTATGCATAGTGAAGTGGGGAAATATTAGTAAATGAAGAGAAGACCAAAAAATCGAAATAATTAATAATAATTTATCAGCAAATAAATATATACAAAAATAAATCCTTTCAGGTGAGAAACTATAGGCATTGGTGAGAAGTTTGAATAAATATATTTAAAATGAATAAAAAAAAGAATAAGAAAATGAAGTTGCAAAACTATATTGCAGAGGATATGACATATCAAAGGAATTTATTTGAAGGACCTCATTGAAAACAACATTTCTAGTTTTATATATACCAGGGTTCAACTTTACACATACGCTTTCCAAAGTTCGCGAACGTGAAAAAGCCACATAGAGCTGTCCATGCATAAACACAAGCTCTTGTAGCAAAGACCCACTCTAGCAAAGGTTTGGCCTTGAGCCCTATTTATAGCCATAGCAAAAGCCAACCTTAGTGGAAACTGAAACCTCTTCAGAATAAAGGGAAGGCTGTTATCTGAAGGAGACAAATATATTTTGGATACCAATACAGTGTGGTCCAACTTTTGTCCCTGGCACTATTTGTGCTTCAAAGACATGAGAGCACATGCGTACACAGAAGTACTTAGCCTCCACACTGTTTGAGGTCATTAAATTCTGGATTTCATATTGAAAGGAAGACAAAGCAGGAAGAGAAAACTTTCCCTTGGTGGCAGCAGGACCTACCAACAGTTTCCCCAGGAAATGCAGGTTAAGCTAGTATATATCCAGGTCCCCAATGATATATTCAGTGGGAACAGGAGAAATAGGATTAGGGGTGTTGTTCCTGCGGCGAGTCATATAGGCCTCCCTAGTGTTTGGAGAGTGAGTCTTCCCACAGCCATCTTCGAGGCATGACAGAAGGACAGCTGAAAGAAAAGGATAAATAAGAACCAAGCAGAGCAAACTAAAAATAAATGAAAGAACAGGCATTAAAAGGAAATCCCAATCATTTAAGAAAAAAGTATTTGCCAAAGACAGGAGAAAAAAGGGTAAAATATGATATATAAAAATAGAGTTCAAAACATATTATTAAATGCCAAAAACTCTAGTTGTGAAAAATCTTAATGAGAAAACAGTAACAAAGCTTCTACTTAAATTTCTAATTAAATAATCATCAATTGATGATACAAATGCAGCATCAGCTTTTTTTATGAGAAAACAAAGTTGCCAAAGACACATAAGAAAGATACTGCAAAGAGGATAAATGTAAAGAAAATATTGAAAAAAAAAGAAAACCAGACACAAAAGTGAAGCTAAAAAAACATAATACTGATTATACCTAAATATTTCTTTTCTAAAGGTGAATAAAATCTAAATGAAAAACTAACAAAGCTATACCTATAATTTTAATTAAGTAATCAACAATCGATTATAAAACACCAGCATCAGCCTATTCATGAGAAAAAAAAAGATGCCAAATACATAACGAAAGATACGGCAAATAGGGAGATAACTGCAAGAAGTTACTACAGAAGGGAACCCCAGACACAAAAATGGAGCTTAATCTAAATGAGAAACAGTAACAAAACTATGTTTACAATTCTAATTAAGTAATTAAACATTTGATTATACAAATACAGCATCAGCCTAGTCAATGAGAAAAA